AAAGATAATGACCCAAAGCTTATTTAATGTTTCCTGACATTTTTTTTTTTTGGTATGTTATGACCTAGATTACTTAAAAATGGTTTTCCTTTTTAATTAAAATAAGTATAGATTGCAAATCACTGTATACTTTTAAAAGTATTAGAGTCATATAAGAATGGTGTAATTAGAGTAAGTGATGAAAACTTTCTGGTCAGGACTTGAAAACATGTCAAATTAATAGTGAACAACTTGAGTAAGGTGTTGCAAATAATGTTAATTAAAAATGTCCACGTGCAGTCCCTTTGAGGGCATGTGAATAAATATCTAACAGTTTCTATCGGGGTCTCAGTTTATACTGAAAATGAGGAAGTCTTTATAATTCATAACTATTACAGAGTCTTTATGAATGGTCTTTCTCATATTTCTCACTGGAAACCATTAGATAATCTGTTTTTATTATACAGAGCCAAACATTTGGCTTAATATTTTTGTTTTAGAACAGACCACAGAATTGTGGGGATATTAGCCATCTCATAATTTTTAGGGGTGCCTTAAAACCATGTACATTTATTCCTGCCTTGAGAGTTTCTTAAAGTTACAATCTTTGATCCCTGTTCTCCTAAAAATGTTACCCAAGATACATATAAAACAGGCATTAAAGGAGTTTCCTACTCTATGTTTCTTCATTAACCATCTACCTTACCACCCACCGATGCTGTGGATTTAAGAGTCTACATAATTGAGTCCGTAAATTAACAAAAAATCCAGACAGCTGGAGCAACCAAGCAGTAGATGGTACATTGGCCTTAATGTTCTCATATTAGCACATTAAACAAGCAGAAAGGGAGCTTTTAATTATGCCTGTTTTTTTTTATGGCAACAAGATACATGTCTTTCCCTGACTTTCCTGCAAAGTTAATACATTTTTGGGGCCAAAGCTGAATTAAGAGAGATAACAAAAGTGTGTGGATTGAAGGATTATTCTGAGTATCCAAGAAGATTTTAAGTACAAAGCAATGAACTTCAAGCGCAATCCAAACTGGTGTTCAGTGTTCTAAACTATGAGTTATTCACCATTTCAAACTGACAGCTTGTAAATGTAAATTTTATTAAATACAGAGCAATAAAATTTTGTAAGTTTCTGTCATTTTGAATTTTAGTGCCTCAGACTGAAGCCTCCAGCCTTTTAAATCACAACTTGTATGAGCACAGCTCTAAAGCATTCACCATTCTTAAATGTGTGCTTTTCAAAACCTCATTATTGCCTTTGCTCACAAAATGTCCTCATCAGGATCCAGGGATGCATGTCTCATGTCAACGGTAGGCTGACAGGCTCATGCCCTCTGTTGTGTTTACATTGTATATCATATAAAGCTTTCTTCTCTTCGTTCTCACTAGGCAGAAAATAAAACAGGGTTAGCAGTGATATCACCCTTCAGACCAGCCAGATTTTCTCCTTTGATCTCCAAAAAATTTCTTTGCATGCGCATGGCAAGAGTCTGGCTCAAGGATCCTTGTTTTGCACTTGAGACAGACATCGAATGATTCAGGGCAAATGAAAACATACTAACACCTATTGGTTAAAGCTGAAATCTAGCAGGGAATATTTTGGAAAAGTTCTTGCAGGACAAAGTGAGATCAGTGGAGATCTCTGGTAACATTTTAATGGATAACAGAGCTTGAGGAGAAGGCAGTTTTGTGTAGGCAAAGGATCGCAGGAACTTGGCTAAACAGCTCAGACATTTATGAGACCAATTTTTTTTTCAGAAGATTACGGCTGCCACTGAAGCACCAAAGTGAAGTGACAGAATTGCGCAGCACCCAACAGGTTTGCGATTGCCAGCAGGGATCGAAAATCCAGCCATTCACTTGATGTGCTCCAGAAGTCACAGGTACATACGTCAGTGTGTGTGGCTGTGAGTGTAAGTGTACATTTGCCCATTTAAAAGGAACAATATCACCTCAAACATTATATTTTCTTCTAAAAATGTGTACTCTAATTACAAGTAACCATAGAAAATCAGCCCAAGCATTTCTAATCCTGTTGCATGGTGAGAAAGATTAAAGAGCCAGCACATCTAATTGTAAGTCTGAATCTCAGTTCTTGTAGTACTCTAGATGTGTATTTTTCATAGTATTTCATCAGGTCCATGCAACGAGCTGTGCAAGCTCTTAATTCATTTAATACATTGCCAAACTGAACATGAATTTTAGTCTGTTATTAACCCGCAAGAACTTTGCCTGAGTAAAGTAAAGTAAAACCAACAGGATCTGATCCACTATTAGATGCTAACAGGATACGTGGTGGAATCCTCAAGGCACTGAAAATAATACCCAATCTCTCATTAGGAATAGTTGCATATCCTCAAAGTCTTAATTGCAAGGTTTCAACCTGGTCTACTTGAGTACAGAATTAGCTACGCAAATTCTGTCACAGTTGTTGCTTTTAAATTTTCCTGGTGTCCTTCTCTTACCTCTCTCTTCCTTACTATTTTCTATATTTACCAAGTTACTAATACATCTCTGTAGTTTGGCTAAATATAGATCTGAGCTTAAACATGCCATAAAGCTACTCCAGCTCCGTCAAGAACACCTACAGTTTTGGCAGCGGTAAATGAACTGCCCTCAATGATGTAAAATTACCTGGGAGGAAATTAGTTTGGGAGCACATAGGCTAGCATTGAGCAAAAACATTTTGGGTGAGTTGTAACTTTTGTTATAGACAAAAGAAGAAAATCAATACAAAGTAGGGTTTTGAAAATCAGTTATCCTAGATATGTAATTCTGCTGGTCATACTCAGTTATGGATTACTGTCAGTTAGTTCTGATTTTAGGTTGTCATATGCAATAAGAAGGATGGACAAGAAAAGTATCTAAAATTTTAGCCGTTTGTCATTCCAGCTGAGACACATTACCAGTGAGCTGTTAGCTTTACTGTGTTAAATAATACAATTAATATCCAAAAGAGTATGTTTATTAGAGCTATGACAGGCCAGCTGCTGAATGGGACCGTGATGCCCAGCTGCACAGCCAGGACATCAGCTCTCCAGTTTGCTGGATCTCACAGTACCTGAAGTGGCAAGCAGGGATTTGTGCCCAGCCTGGCTGCTCATGTCACGGCTTAAGTCACTGATGAAGACAAGTTCATGTGAAGGCATGAGGCTGTGGCGGGGGCGCACGTTCATTTCTGCCAAATCTCTTGCTGTGGTGGTGATCACAGGCAGAGGTGTGGTAGCAAGTAACGGAGGGGATGATAACATCACAAACTGCTGCAGCTGTCTGCTCTCTGAACGTGAGTCAGAGCCTTCTGCCACACCGGGTAGTGACACGAACGCCCGTCAGGCACAATAGACACTTCAAAGCTGATTAAGGCATGCTACATTTAGTTTTTCAAACGGGGATCATTTTCTGGCAAAGTACACCTGGGCAGTGAGTGCTTCAGTCATCTCTGCATTCATTCGCTGACGTGCTGCACTGAAATGGCACAGGTGATGAATGGCCGGCTGGTTTGTGGAGGGAACGGTAGGCTTCATCCTCTCTTACTCTGTATCTTACATAGTCTATAACAGCAGTACACAGCTGAATAGGCTACGAAACGACACTTTACAGACATTTGAAATTCATTTTGGACTGGAATAGTTGCCTACTCAAGAAAATCATGCTCGGGTGTCTGCAATCAGTGCAAACCTACCTCTTCCATGAAAGTTTCACAGGAAAGTGTGTGTCCAGCTGAGTAATTCCAGACTGAGGTGTACACCTGACTGTATTGCTCATATATTCACAGCAGCTAAAATCTGTAGTCAGGCATGAGGCTCTCAGTTCAGTAGGTGATGTACACAGGTATAGCCAACAGATCATATTTGTTCCTTAAAAATTGCAAATTGCAATCTAGGGATAAGGAAAGAAACAGAAACTTGCCACAGTCACAAGGGAGAACCAAGAAACAATGAGACAATTTTATTCAATATGACAGACAACTGTACTGGATCATCAATACCTTCCAGCTGCCAAGATACTTACAGACAAGGAGGTTGAGCAATGAAGGAGTGGAGAAGTAGGCTCCTGTCCCTTCACATCTGAGTCCTTATGTAATCGGACTGGTAATGTTTTTTCCCATACAGTACGGGAGCTCCTTGAAGAGCTATGCAGATGCATAACCAAAATAATTCGAAGACTAGAGAGATGTCTTTCTGGAAAAAAGCTCCTGGAATGGGGATTCAAGTTTTGCCAGGTGGATCACAACCCAGAATATTTTTCTATGCTATACAGAGACTAGTAAAATAAAGCCTAGGAGTCTGGGGAACTAATTAGGTTTGAGCACTCTGAAAGCATGGTTGGTATGCGCTGCAGTGAACACATAGGTATAACAGTCATGACTATAACATATGCAGCTTAGTGTTGGAGATAAATGTATTTTTGGAGAGGTCGAGGTAGGAAACCCTGAGCTCTAATCTTGCCTTTGAGGTTGGTATTATATATGACTTTGAGCAAGTTAGTTAGACTTGGCAGGAGTAGGGGGGATTGCAGTGGGTTTCCCATGTTAAGATTGATTCAACTCATGTATGTGCAGTTCCTTGGATGGAGATCAATAGCGAATGATTATTGTTGGAGAAGCTGATCGTAAAAATGCTTTAAGGGATATATTCACTATCATGGGAATCTTAAAAATAATTTGCAATTAATAATTTATTCAGAAAATTGAGTATGTCTTCTTGTGAATTGTTCACAAGTACATCATATCTTCACAGACTGATAGATTATATAAGGGCATTTACTGATGTATTTCCAAGGGACTCCTCTTGGCATAAAGTTCAGTGTGAAAAAGAATAAGGACCTCCAGGCAAGTGAAAAACAGGACACATTGCAGCACAGGTTTACTTCATCTGTCAGATTAACATGACAATTTGCTGAAAGATGTTTTAGACAAGGGCGGTATTGTAGATACCATCTATGTGGACTTTTATAGAGAGTAGCTACTCATTAAGTCAGAAAGGTGGAAATCAGTAGATAAAGTGAAGATGGGAGAACTAGCTAAAGACAAAATGATGATGGATGTTACCGAAAGAAGTCTCAGGTTGCAGGGGATAGGCTACCTCAATGATAAGCTTCAGGTGCAATCTTGTGTAATGCATTTCTTAATGAGCGGCCCATAAAAAGCAGGATCGGGCTGGTTAATTGGTAAGAGGATGTTGGGAAGCTATAAAGGAGGCTTGAGACATTAGGTGAAAAGAAATTGATAACTGTGGGCTGAAATGCTTGATGTGGAATAAGATTCAGCCATATAAAGTGCAAGGTCATACACCTGGAAACTAGTAACTAAATGTTCAGGAGAAGATAAGACATTATAGCTAACAATTTAAAGGGAGAATTAGATGGCTACTAGATCTATTGGAAATGTGATTTATTTGTGAAAAAAAGGCAAATGTAATTGTAGTGTTCAGTAATAAAAGCTGGGGCAAAGGAGGAGGAAGGGGCACATTTGAATGGTTATACAAACCTGCAGACCTAGATGCTAGAAAATAGCCCTAGAATTATTTTCCATGTTGTTATAAAAGGAAGAAAAAAAAATGACTTTTTAGTGGACTGGTAATAGGTCAAGACTGTGAGAAAGACAGCTTTCTCCAATCTAACAAGCATTGTGGTTTGAAGACAAGGAACAGGAGTGATCCTCTATGATCAGGTAGGAAGCTTCAAATTTGTGCTACCATCTCAGTGGAAGTTGGATGTACTTGGTGTGAATTCCAGTTGTCTCTTCTCTAAATTCGTTCTTGTTCTGAAGGTCTTTTTGACTCTTTCTCTAACTGTTGTTATTCAGCCTGGCTCTTGCTGGATTTTCTACTCCGACTTGGCTAGTGTGCTTTCCTTCAACTGTGAGAAAAAGCGTTTACCACACTGAAAATGCGATGTGGTTTTTCTAGCAAATTCGGCTAGTGGAAAGACCAGAGAACTTGTTTGTGCATTCACACAACTGGAGAGCAAGTTTCCAATGTGGGTTTTTCATGTTAGCTGTGGCCAGAATTGCTGCTCATGTCTTAAAGACTAGCCAGGTGTCAGTTAGGTATTTCCTTTTCCACAATGCAAGGAAAATTTAGCACCTTACACAAAGAAAAAAGCTACTACTTATTTCACTCTTCTCTCCACTGCACAGACAGCGTAGAAGGAGATTGTTGTTTGGGACCACATGCCTTGGTCACTTTTGCGGCAGGGAGGATGCGGTCAGCGTTCTCTCAAACATTTAGCTTGGCCTCCATAGTCCCGTGCTTGGTGAACCTCACTGGTCCCGTTTTACTGGGTAGTTTGTGGGGAACAGCTGGCTAGCGGTTCTTCCCTGTTTTATTAGGCAATGTAGTTCATAAAAGTTGCGGCCTTCTGTTTAACCATATTCCTGTGTGGAAAGTCTTGTTCACTACAGCGTCTGGGCCAGAGACGTTTACATCACTGTAATCAACAAGCACTTAAAGCAGCTACTCCTTAAATGACCTTAGGTTAGCAGGAAGCAAGATGGAAGCATGCCCTTCCAAAAGTAAGGATTTCCAACCTGAGTAGGAACTGTTTTTTCACATGTATAAAAACAAGTGATTATTTACCATTTCCACTCAGTTGTCAGTCTAGTCAGCCGCATTAATCACCAAGTCTGACTCAGGGCACAGTAACCGAGCAGTGTAGGAGAGACTATCTGGTAAAGACATTAGAGATGATACTAATGAAGAAGCAACAGTTTGTTTTTTGTTTGCAAATCTCTAGTGCAAGTAAAAGTAACAGCTGCTTTCTATTCTGCTCCAGAGCTGAGTGGCAAAGTCGACACAGTAATGCAAGCAAATATCTACATTTTTTTTTTTTAATGCACATTCCACCTTTTTTTTTTTTGCAACGATTTTGCTTTTCTTTTCAAGGACGCTTTCCTTGTTCAAACAGATGTAATGGCAATTTGCACCTTGAAGAAGAGGATCTGTGGATCCCAGCTACAAAGACTTGAAATAGAAAAATTGATATGAATGAAACACAAAACCAAATGGGTGTGTTCGTGTGAGCACAGGAAGAAACAGCAGAACACAAGTATTGTTGGGACTTGTATTGGTAACAGAGGACACAGTTCCTGCCGATCCCTCTGAGAAATGTGTTGTTTCCATCAAGCCTTGAAGAGGACAGCACAGATGACTCGCTAGCTAACGACCCTGCATTCCTGACAAGGATGGCAAAAAGGTTGCAGGCTCTCACACATGCCATTCTTTTTCCTGTCAGCCCAGAATTCCACCTCATTCTGCTTGATTCACACTTTTCCCCTGAGCCTGGGAGAAGCATGCGGCTATTCCCTATGTAGGTAGTGATTTTTGGCTCTTTTGTAGGTACTTGCATGTAGGAAATGTAACCTTATACTATATTCTAAAAAAAAAAAATACATTCACGAGGGTTTAGTTTGCATTTGCACAATTTGCCTTTGCAACCATAGTAGACTGTGTATGCTAAAATTATTTAGCCAGGGTAATTTAAGAACAAGGGGGCAAAGGAACCCAAACTAGAACTGTGCTATTTCTTCTTCAAACTGAAACTGATTACCAAAAGTTGTTTTCTAATTAAACTGGACCAAAACAGTATGGAAAAAAAAAAAAAAGAGTATTTCTGATTGACAGCTCAAAACAACAGCAGAAATGAAAAGCAATGGCTTGCACTGAAAAATGTGACCAGGAGGGTATAGGGGAAAACATGAGGGAGGGAACTGGTGGCCTTCAAGAGAGGCACAGAAATAAGCAGGTGCCAGGAAGGAAAGTTCCTTGTAACCCAGATAAGGAGTGAGCTGGATAGGTGGCCCTGTCTCCTGTGAGGGAAAAAGATGTTGCACAGGAGGGGTGGACCACGGAGAGAGAATAAGAAGAGGCTCCCACACTTGTCTCTGACCCTCAGAAATAACCATACATTTTTCCCAGCACCCGCTTCCTACAACACCCACTCAACCCTTCCAGCCCCCTTTCCCTTCTCCTCCACCACTGCCTGTCTCCTCTCCTAAACCTCTCTGGCCCCTCCTGTCACGCTCCATTACCTCTGTCCACCCAAATTTACTCAGCAGTTGTAGTGATCCCACTGTGGGGGAGCTGCCAAGCCTTCAAATACTCCAGCCTTTTCTACTAAAACTGAACTGGAACAACTTCAGTGACAATCTGAAGAACCAGACAAAATGAAAACATTTATTAAACTCACTGCCAAGCTGATAAACGTGTAATATTTAGTAGTGGCATACAGAGGTATTACAGATTTACAGACCTTACAGGCATACAAGGTCTTACGGACTCTTAAAAGTCCTCAACTGAAAGTGAAAATCTGCATAGGCTAAATCTAAGTCTTCTGGGTTTGCTTTTCTCAGCAACCTTCCACAGAGTCCTGCAAGGTGTTTTCAAACACCCAGGGCTCCACTAATCAATAACTATTGGTTTCGGAAATTGAAATGAAGTCATATAGCTCTTCCCTCCATTTTTCTGAAGTACAGAGATAGCAAGCTGGCGATACCATTTGGTTTCACATGCTAAGAACATTGATTTTATTCAGTAGAAAATGCTCAAGCCAAGTAATAGGCCAAAACTTGACAGAGTTGGGGATACAATTATCTTCTTACTTAGAGCCTATATGAAATATGGGGATTTTAAAATTGTTGCCATCTCCTTTATCATTGACAATATTCTCAGGATTACCAGTGAAATTTCTTCACAGAGAAATAATATAAAGCATATAAAAAGAGAAAATATCAGAATACTGACTGGATGTCCTGTAAACAATATCTATTTATTTCCTGTGTCATTGTGTGACCCAGCATTTTTAAATGAAAGCTCTGTTCAAAGGCACTGTTCAAGGATTTTTTTTCTTATTATTCTAAAAATGCAGAAGAGTTTCAAATTATTGGCATACTGCCATCAATGAAAAAAAAGTATTTGATTGCAGTGTGTTCAGTTTGTTAATTCCAGTGCTTTGCAACATGCTTCATATATTTCCTTTACCTTTAAAGTATGAAGTAGTGGGAGACTAACTTTCTTTCATCTATAAAAAGTTGTTCACATTTAACAAATAACAAACTACTTACAACTGCAATGACAAAAACATTTCAATTTGAAAACCTCCCTGGAGGGGATATGCTGGTACCAAAATCTGTACCACTCCACATAAAATAACCACATCACACCCCTAATGTGCTTGCTGAACACTGACAAATAAAAAAATTGTAACCTGATTGTTTGCTCCGTTATGCTAGTATGAAGTGAAATAATGGTAAACAACGCTATTTTGTATTTTTATTTTTAAATAAAGCTTTGACTCCAATGGGCAGCTTTAATCTTGTACACTGATTTTTCTTATGGTCAAAAAGAATTTTAGTACATCCATGTATTTAACAACTGCAAGGAGACTCTTGGGGGTTAAGCTGTCCTGTTACACCACTATGCTGTCTCCTGGGGTAGTTTCCATTCATCCTTCTTGGTAGTCAACAGTGAACATGCATGTTTATCCACATCAAGTATTCTTTGTATTTCCAAAATTAGGCCTTAATATATTTAAGTACTTAAATAGATCGGATATACAGCTTCAAGACAATTTTATGCCCATGAATGCCACATTGGAGATGAAACAGTTCTTTTTATGTTTTTCGCTCATTTAGATGATGATGATGATAACTTCTAATAAGCTCAGGTGATCTGTGAAGGAATATTGTCAAAGAGTAAAATTAAGCTTGGGGATGTGCATTATAACACACGTTTCTTTGTCGTATTTCAAATGAGAATACACGTAGCCTGGAGACCTGGAGCACCTTCCTCTCTAATCATCCTGCTTTTGCTCACACAATCCAAACCCCAATAGTTCTCTTGTCTTGGGGGGTTGAATAGAACCCTGCTTCTCCCCAGAAGCACCAGGAAGCTTTGAATTCATCTTTTACGTTCCTTCTTAAGGTGACTGAGGCAGAATCGGCAGGAATGTGAACAGTTCCATAGATATTTCCAGTGGTTTATCGATTGCCTGTCTGTCCTGATGACAGACGTGAAGCTTTTAAATGTCTAATGTCAGCTGTACAACCATTCAATATATCAGAAATCTTAAGGGAAAATTCCATGTTTGTCCTTGTTGCTCTTCC